GGGAGCCCGATGCGGGACTCGATCCCGGGACTCCAGGATCATGACCTGAGCCGAAGGCAGTCGCTTAACCAACTGAGCCACCCAGGCGCCCCCCGCCCATGCTGTACTTTTCATCTCCCTGACTTATTCATTTCATTACTGAAAGCCTGTACCTCCTACCAATCATTTTGCCCATCCCCCCCCATTCCCCACCCCTCTGGCAACCGCCAGTTTGTTCTAATTGGATATTTCTGAAAGAAGCCTGGCTATGCCCCATTTAAATTTTACTTCTGTTGCCTCATGTTGTTTCGGGCAGCATAAATTTGAGAGGAGCTTTGGTAACAAAAGCCTTGCCTTGTAGACTTTTGGTCTATGACTTAATAAAAAATACTTTTTCAGGATGTTAATCTATATTTAGGTCTTTAAATATTTAAGAATTCTCCAAAACAAAAAAATTAAGCATTCTCAAGAATTAGCAAATATGGGTAAGTATTTATTGTGTAAAATTTATGTTCTCAAAAAGAAAGCTTTAATTGCCAATGGGTTAAAACTGAATATACAAAATACATATCCAGTTTCAAATGCCAGTGTATTAAGTTTTTTAATAAAATGTTTCTAAATTTCTAAATGTTCATTGGGAGAAACAAAGAGTTTTATAAAGATAATAAAAATAAACACCAATACAGGATGTTCAGAAAAGAGAGGAGGAATAGATTCGTATAATGTTTCCTCATATTCAAAATTCTTCTGCATATTTATTCGACAGACACTTCTGAGTGCTTATCAAATGAACAGGATGCCGTGGAAGGCATTGGGAATATAATGGTGAACAAGGCATAAGTCCTGGCCTGAGCTCCAAACATTTATGGTCCAACTGTGAGGTGTGTGCGATGGGGAAGGGATCAGAGAATGGCATAAGCAAGAGACACTCCATATACATACAGAGACTTATGGGGAGAGTAGAATAAAAACCTCACATTTCATCTTTTAGAATCCTATAAACTATAAACTCATAATGAAGAAATTCTGTTGCTAAAGAGAAAATCTTGTCATTTTAGTAAAGTTTCATTTTAGAAGTTTTTTCCTGACTCAGCCACTTCCTAATACTGTTTTGAGTTATGGTCCACACATTTCCGCTGTCAGGTTTATGCTTCAGGCAGTGGTGGGTGCTGCTGAGTGGACGCTGAAATTAATATGCCGTGGCCTGAACAGCACAGATGACATAGGGAAGGCATAAATCACAGCACGACCTTTGGGGGATCTCCTTGGACATGACTCCATCTCCGTCATGAGACATCTTCAAGCATTAGCCCTTACATTCCCTGCCTGCATCCTTTCTGCCATTCTCTCTTGTTTTATGTTTCTTCATTAAACTAAAAGCACGCTGTGAAGATTTCCAACTGGGGAGATAGCTGGGAGATGTTTGGGTTGGAAGGTGGGAGAAGGCTATAAAGCACTGAGGGACAAGAAGCAATGCTGCTTAGGAAAGGAGAATTCCTTTTATCTTTTCCAAGTACATTTTCATGGCCTTTGGGGAATGAGAGACCCACATAGAGATTACTTATAATAGCAAAAATATAACCACTATATTTTTAAACACAAATGATTGCATATATAAAAAAAGGAGGAAAAATAAAAATGAAACTATAGATGGGAATAATAATCTCTTACCATAGTATGTAAGATACTCTGCTGTGTGTAAAAATGTCAGTGAAACCAGAACGTTGAAAATCCAATTTATTCCAGATGAACATGCATTTCCTGTACTTCTTCCCCAAAGGGGATATATTTCAGAATTCACAGTCCAAGGCATTGGTCCCATTCCTGAGAAAAACATAAAACTAAAAATTTCAGTAAAATAGTTTATAAGGAATTTGAAAAAGAGTAGTTTGTCCTCTAAAAAGAGACACTTTAAATTAAACACAACACAAAGCCTTTGTTTACCAGGTGCGAAGAAAACAAGATATAAAATAAGGCCCAGAAGTGCAGTCCAGGAGTATGGCGTAGGGCAGAAATTGTAAGCCCAAAATACTTCTTCTGTTTTAAATTTGGTTTCATTCTCACATCTGAAAAATAATGCAATATAAGTATTAATGTTTTAGGGTATAGTTGCAGAAATTCAATGTGCTTATCTTGGAAATATCTGAAAGTTCCTTAATATCGTTAAGGAAAAGGGTCCAAGATGTTTTTCTTGAAAAAAAATTAAGATTTAAATATACAGTATTCGCTGTAAAGCTCACATAGAACATCTTAGATCTGAATATAACTCAAGAGAAAAACAAAGAAATATACTGTGTGTACAACTCAACAGCAAAAAAACAATCCAATTAAACAATGGTCAGGGGGGATGCACCTGATTGAGCGTCTGATTCTTGGTTTCGGCTCAGGTCATGATCTCAGGGTCCTGAGATTGAGCCATGCAAGTCAGGCTCCGCGCTCAGTGAGATTCTTTCTCCCTGTCCCTGTCCCCTCCCCACTCTCTCTCACTAAAAATAAATAAAATAAATGGTCAGAGGATCTAAATGGACATTCTCCTAAAGGAGACATATAGATGACAGGTACACGAAAAGGTGTTCAACATCATTAATCATCAGGGAAATACAAATCAAAAGCACAATGAAATATCACCTCCCACCTGTTAGAATGGCTACCATCAAAAAGATGAATAACAAGTGTTGGTGGGGATGTAGAGAATGAGGAACCCTTGTGCACTATTGATGAGAATGTATATTGGTGCAGCCACTATGGAAAACAGGACGGAGGTTCCTCAAAAAATTAAAAACAAAATTACCATAAGATTTGGCAATCCAACTTCTGGGTATTTATCTGAAGAAAACGAAAACACTAACTCAAAAGATATATCCACCTGCATGTTCACTGCAGCATTATTTACAATAGGACATGAAAGTAACCTGAGTGTCCACTGATGGACGAATGGATAAAGAAAATGTGTGTACATACACACACACACACACACATACAAATATTATTCAGCCTTAAAAAAAGGGATTTTTGCCATTTTTAACAATATGGATGGACCTTGAGGGCATTATGCTACGTGGAATAATACCATATGATCTTGTATGTGCAATCTAAACAAAAATACTGAGCTATGGTCTTAGATACAGAGAACAGATTTGTGGTTGCTGGGGAACGGAGTTTGGAGAATTGAAATGGGTCAAAAGGTACCAACTTCCAGTTAAAAAATAAGTCATGGAAGGTATTGAACTGCATGGCCACTACAGTTAATAATACTGCATTGCATGTTTGAAAGTTGCTAAGAGAGTAGGTCTTAAAAGGTTTCATGACAAGAAACATTTGTAAATAATGTATGATGATGGACGTTTAATGCCAAATCATGTTGTCCACCTGAAACTAATACAATGTTATAGGTTAATTATATCTCAATAAAACAACCACATTGTGTTTTATACCCACTTCATATAAGTCAGACATGATTTCCAGTTAGTCCTCGAAAGCTATAGTAACACTTTAAGACTGCCGAGAGTCTGTCGTGGTAGAAAGACCTTAGAATTTGCAGTCAGGACAAGATTGAAGTTCCCAAACCAGATTTTTTTTTTTTCATCTGTAAAATGGGGATAATACCTTAAGGATTAGAAGGGTCCCTTGTAAACAGGTGATGGCATAGATGTGGGGAGGGAACAGTGCTTATATCTGATCCCAACTAACACTTTCCCTTCCTGCCGTGTGTCCTTGCTTCTGTCTCAGTCACTCCTTAGTGACTTTGCCTCCTAGTTCTATTGTCAAGCAAAGTCTCCTCTGGTCTTAGATTGACTCTCAAGTTAAACTTCCAATTCTTTACCTTAATTGAAACTGGAATTGCCCATGAAGACACAACCAGCCTCACAAACACTCTTGCCCTCATTGTCATTTTTAGACTAGTATTCTGCCTCTATCAACCTCTGATGTTTGAACCTTAACATTTAAGCCCTGTCCTTGCTGGTCTGTTTATGACCTCCATCATCATAACACCCCACCTTGTCTTCCTGAGTTGAGTGCCTGGTCAGTCATATCCTCTACCCCCTCACATCCTCTGCCACAGCTGTTTATTTTTACTTCCGGCCCATATAATACTTTGGCTTAATAGTTCTTTATTTAGCCTCTGAAATTGCAAGAGGGCATTTTGCTTGATTTGGAACTATTTTACTTCAAGGTCTCAGCATTCCTTTTCTGATAACAAGCATTCCTTTTCTGGTAACAAGCATTTTATTTCCTAATTTCTGATCACTTCCTCCACACCCAAATCACAATCTTTAGATTCTCAACTCCCCTCAGCTTTCACTTAACCTCATCACTCAGTGTAGACCATGCCAATACTCTGCCGGTCTCTAGAATCCATCTTTCCTTCCTCCATGCTTATCTGCCATCCTCACGATGTCAGTTTCCAACCATGCACAGTACCATTTAACTGCCTTCAATTACCACTGGGCTAAACTTTGCTCAACTGTTGCATCAATTAATTAAAATATGTACTATCTTCTAGTACTGAAATCTTTCCCTCTTTCTCACTACTATGAACTTGGGTCCTTCTTTAAGAAGAAAATGGAGCACATTCAATTTGAACACCCTCAATTTTACTCTCTTGAACCTCTTGTTTTTCTGCATTTTCTTTTGGAGCTCTTTTCCTACACCTCCATTAGTAACATGTCTCTTGCCTTTTCTAAGGACCTGTACCCCCTTCTCCTTCTGTCTCTGCTGGGGTCACGTTCCATCAGCCGTCTGTCTCTTTCTGCCATTTTCAGTTTTTTCTGACATGAGCCTTCCTTTCTGTTTATGACACACAAGCTTGCTGCTACTCAACTGTTCAACCCCTCTCGTATTACACTACTAGTTCATCTGCAATTACAGAGAAATTTATACTGGTGAACTCTTCCTCCTTACAACCTACTCTTTCCTTCCTAGGCCAGCTCCCCTGTCCACCCATAGGCCAGCTGACTCTGACTCACTCAGGCTCTGTTTTCCTGAATCTACTCACCCAAAAGTTAGACCTTCTAACCGCCAAATTCACTTATCTTGCCTTGATTTTGAGGTTCTTTGATTACTTTCTGGTGCTTGATATTGCTGACAGACCTTTTTTCTTCTCTTTCCCCTTTGCTTTTTACAGTTATATCTTCATCTTCTCCCCTCTGATATATATGTCTTCATTGCTTTTTAAAATGTCTCTTCCTCCCCTCAACCTCTAAAGGTGTGTTTTAAGGTTCTATTGTGGGGTCTGTCCCTTGTCTCTTAAACATCTCCTCTAATTTTCATTAAATTTTTAAAAGAAAGGAAGACTGCCACATGCAGTGCCTCACTGGGATGTGTCTGGAGTCTTGGAATCTTGACTACCCTACATTCTCCTACAAATTGAACTTGAGAGCTCGTTTGGAGGTTCTGACAGGTGCACAGCTTCTCATATACCCTTGATGGAAGAACAATATCTGGGAAGGTCATCCTCTTTGAGTGTACAGCTACAGGAGAGATGCACATGGAAGGGTGAGGAAGGAGACACATGTCTAGCCGCCAAATCAGCCAAATCAACCGTGGCGATCAGTGGGGTGACATATCACTGCTAGATCACCCTCATACCCATCTCATCTAATTTTAGAGATTGACAGTTTCCACATGGATGCTCCCTGATAGTTTATTCTAGCATTGACTTTTTTTCTTATGCTCCATTGATGGAATTTAGGTACCTGCTGAATTATCCACTATTATCACAGGCTGTTGGAACATTAACTGTGTAATGCATACTGAGTGCTTAGCACACTGCTCGGCACGTAGTGTATGCACAGTAAGTATTAGTGTAATAGTGCCTCTCGTGACATTTCTGTTTTCGATACCACCACCACTCCCTGAGTTGAAATGGGTTAAACTCTTGCAGTTATCTTCAATATTTTCTTACCCATCTTTCTTAAAATCCTCTATACTTTTAAGTCCAATTAAAGAAGAGTGGCTAAGACTATGAGCTCTGGGACTGACATCCTATGTTCAAATCTAGGTTGGGACACCCAGATTTGAAGCTGGGATATTTGTGACCTACGTACTTAACTTTCAAAGCCTGTGTCCTCATCTGTGAAATAAGGATTTTCCTGGCACCTACCTCATACAGTTATTTTGAGGCTTACATGAGATGATGTATGCAAAGAACTTCACATGATGTGGGTAAGAATTCATAATTATATTGCCTAGACATAGTTTCTTGAATCTGCCTTTTCTATTTGCGTTAATACCACCCCAGTTCAGACAGTTTGTCTCATCAACTGCATTTGTCTCCTTGGCAGACTCTGGAGTAGTCTCTCCGTGATCCATTTCCTGATACTCATCCTCTTCTCTAGTCCTCTCTACTTGAGTGTGGGAGTGACCTGTGACTTGTTTCTAACAGAACATGGCTGAAGTGACAGGACGCATGTGATTATGTAAGCTGCTCCGCAGAAGTCTCTCACTCCGTTGATAGCTTTGAAAAAGTAAGCTGGTACGTGATGGGATGCCAGTGTTGGGATGCTCATGGGAGGGACTGAGAGAAGTCTTTAGGAGCTGGGGGTAGCCTTTGATTGACAGCAAGAAACTGAAGTCCTTGGTACAAAAGTTACCGAATTCAGCTAACAAAATCTTCCTTAGCTGAGCCTCAGAAACAACCACAGCCCAAGTGAACACTCTGTAGCCTCGTGAGACCCTAGGCAGCGGGCCTAGCTAAGCTGTGCTTGGACTGCTGGCGCACGGAAACTGGAGTATAATTAATGTGTGTTGTTTTAAGTAAGTATGTGGCAGTATTACTGTAGCAGCAATAGCAAATAAATATAGTCTCCTAATGATTTTCCCTGCGTCTCGCATTCCTTTCTTCAAACTACCGCCCCACCAAGTTGAGCTCTCGAAAGCACTGCTCTGGCCACCTCCCTGCTCAAAAACCTTCAGCCCCCTTATCCCAACTGCCTATAAAATGGGGCCTGCAAAATTTAGCTGCAGCCTACCTTGTATCTTATACTCCTGTATACAGTCCTTTTCTCCAAATAATTATACTACTAATTTTTTGAACCAACTTCCCAGCCCCGGGATGTTCTACTCA